ATAGCAGAGACAACCGAAGACTCGTAAATTATTCAAAGATAGTGCTTTGCCAAACAATACTTCAAAAGGTGTTTTTCCATCCAGAAATGGTGTGGGAGTTCGATTAATTAAATTGCCTGCAGTCAAAATGCATTCACCCCAAAATGTGATAGGCAAACAAGATTGAAAACAAAGCACCCTTCCCACATTAAGGATATGTCTATGTTTACGTTCAACGCGCCCATTTTGCTGAGGAGTGTCCACCATAGACATTTGATGAATGATTCCAAGATCTTTCAAGTAACTGGTTAAACATGTAAATTCTTTGCCATTGTCACTACGAACAATTTTGACCTTTCTATTAAATTGGTGTTCAGTGAAAGCCAAAATTTTTTTAAGGATCTTAGGTACCTCGTGCTTCTTCTTTATCAAGAAGATCCAAACAGCACGTGAGTAATTATCCACAATAGTTAGAAAATATTTAGAACCACAAAGAGACACTTCACGATATGGACCCCATAAATCACAATGTATTAACTCAAAAATTTCAGCAGCCTTATTTTCACTAGAAACAAAAGGAGTTCGGGTATGTTTTGCCCGCAAACAGATATCACAATGACCTAAATCTGACCCAAACTTAATACCACCGATCATAGGAGAAAGGGATTCCACAACTCGCTTAGAGGGGTGTCCTAGTCTTTGGTGCCACGGCGCCGTTCACCTTATTTGCTCGAGCAGAAAATACTTCCCTCACAACATACAGCCTTTCTCACTCTTTACCCACTCTAATCAGTATCCTCGAAGTGCGGTCCTATACAACACATAGACAATCAGTAAACTTTAATATAAGAGTCTTGTCTCGAGCCAACTTTGACACTGAGATCAAATTGCAGTCTAAGTCAAATACAAATAAGACATTCTTGAGACACAAAGATCCCAAAATAACAGTTTCTTTCTTTGTAGCCATAACCTGTTCACCATTGGGCAACTTCACAGGATAAGGAGGAATATTCCATACTTCGCTAAAAGATTCAACGACTCCAGTCATATGATGCAAAGCGCCGGTATCAAAAAGCCATTGTAAATTTGCCTTACCAGACAAATGATGGCTCGACGTTGATTTGTGTGTACTCAAGAGTGACTTCAATGTCAACCAATCTTCTGCACTAAGATTTTCCAGCCCCACCTTGTCTGCATCTCCAAGAACATGCATCGATGATGCAGTAGTGTCTACGGTCTGCACAGCAGTTGCATTTGCCGCGCCACCCCTACCGCGATCTGGTCGTCCGCCTTTTCCTCTACCACGGTCAGTCGTATCTGCTCCTCGCCTAGCAGGAAATCCATGTAACCGATAGCAAGTGTCAATGGCGTGTCCTGATCTTTGACAATACGAACATAGAGGCCTGTCCTCTCGTCGAGTTCCTCCTGAATTGCGCGATCCGTCTGCAACTGGTGCCTTGACTGCAAAACTGACCGGATCCGTCTTCTCAGGAGTGGGATTTTGCATCATAGAGCAAACCTGCTCCTATTCCGTCACTTGCGAGTAGACTCGGTACATGTTAGGTAAGGGATCAGTTGCTATTATGGTGGACCGAATGGTGCTGTAAGGAGTTTCATCGAGTCCCAGGAGAAATTAATGAACTCTCTCCTCTTCACTGCGCCGTTCCAGCCGTGCATTGAGATTGCACATACAACCACGACAAGTTCACACCGGCATCGGATCGTGATCATTCAGATCATCCCAGATCTTTTTGAGTCTACTGTAATAGCCCATAACGGTATCACCATTTTGTTTACACTTTGAAACTTCAGTTTTTAATTGATGAACCCTCGCTCCATTGCGTACAGAAAACTGTTGTTGGATATCATCCCACAACTCTTTGGCCGTTTCTCTGTAAGAGATTGTGGAATGCAGACTTGGTTCTATCGTATTAAAGATCCATGAGATAATCATAGAGTTCACAGTCCACCAATCTTCTACCTCGTTTGAGTCATTAGTTGGTTGTTTGATTGAACCATCGATAAACCCATTTTTCTTCTTCGCTCGAAGCGAAATACAAATTGCTTTCGCCCACTCTTCATAGTTGGTACCTTTCAATTGAGTATGAGTAATTAGGTTTCCTGGATTATCATTTGGCATAAGGGCAAACGGCGAGATGGATTTCTTCCCATCATCTGATCCGGAATCCCTCGAAGGCACCATGGATCTTTGGTATCAAAAGAGTCACTTTTCCTTGTGTGGCTCTGATACCACGTTAAAGACAAGAGATGAAGCTTTGAGAAACATTCTGCCCTTCTGTTCATTCGATGATGCATATATATACAGGATTTGGCCAAAACTTTAGCCGCAAGAGAATCCTTCTATGATTGAGGAACATACCTAGAATTATACCAGAATCCAATCACCTAGAGATATACCAGAATCCCAGCCAAACTAATATATAGCTAATATTATCTATACAACTAATATACAGCTAATACCTTGCTAAAGCTTAAGACTGCAGCAATTTCCATCAAAGGGTCTTTCATGCCTTGCAAAAGAGAAGTGGCCAACTCCTCTCCCAACCTCCCAGTCCTCCATTACTTACCCCAAATCCTTTCCCCACTCTAACATTTATTTATTTTTTCCTTCTCCTTCATAGACCCACAACAAGTTGCCACCATTATTTCCACTTCCATCTAATCCGTAAATTCTTATATTATTTGGAACCAATTGATGTGTCCTTTTATTGTTTACCCATGGACTGTTTTGGGACAGTGACAACTAAATTGTGGATACTGGTTTTGATTTTGAAGTCCCTTTGCAATTACTTGTGGATTTTATGTTATTGCTGAAACTAGAGAATTTTATGTACAATCAGTGGCCATGGTTAATATAACATAACTATAAATTGCTTAAAACAAGCACCGGTAAGAAAATTATGGAGCAGGGAATTGGAGGGCTATGGTTAGTGTGTAAGGTTGTAGTCGCTAATAATTCTCTTGATTCTTGCTCCCATGACGATGTTCAAAGTTCACTGATTTTCTGTTTAGGTTGGTGCACTGAAACATTGCACTTTTAATATTTCTCTATTTTTTGGAGTAATTTGTTGGTTATGGTCCTCATGCTTGTGAATGTTAATGATGGCTGATCAATTGTTGGATTAATTGGACGGTGAAGAGGGAAAGATTGGTGGATCTGTTGGTAGAGTACTTGGCTATTGATGTGGGTTCAAAGGACAGTGATAGTAGTAAAAGTCAAAAGAAGTTTTGGTTGGTGTTGTTTTGGTGATTGAAGGATACGGGCACAAACGTTGTCAAGAAAACCTTTTGAGTCGGTTTTGTGTAAAATGCATAAGATGCAACTTTGCATGCACACGGTGTAACTCACTTTCAACAACGTGTAACTATAGAACAAAATTTTATGGATCCCACACATGATGTAAAAAATGATGTAGAAATGCAATCTGGGCCTTACATTTTTTGGAGATAATTGCAAAAACCTCCATGAGGTTTCTAGCAATTTCACTCAGCTCCCCCGAGGTTTCAATAATTACATAGACTTCCCTTGATCCAATCAAATAACTAAAATATCCTCCACTTAATAGTTAATTCATAAAGGGACATTTAAAGCCAAAAAATACTTCTTATTATTCTACTTGCCATTTCCTAATCTCAAAGAATAATCTTCATCAATTTTCTAATTTTCATCTCTTCCCCTTCCCTCCATCCCTCTTTCATACTCTTCTTTCTTTTCTTCTACAACTATTTCTTCCTTTCACCAAATACTACACTTTATTGTTACCAATCATACCACTATCAATTTTTTATCATCTCCAAAATTTATCTGTACTCTTTTGTCTTCCTGTCTTTTCCTTACTATAAAAATTTTAGACTCTTTCTTTTTTTTTAAAAAAAAAGTTTTACTCTTTACAAATGTTAGCCAATTCAAGTTACCAAATTAACAAGGTGCAGACAGTGAATTTTATTGCCAAACTAGGGGAAGATGAAAAAGGTGGCAACGATATAGGGAAAAAAATGAAACTGAGAGTTAGAAGATAAAGAAGTGACTGTTATGTTTGTTAAACCAAAAAGTCTAGTAATTTAAAAACTCATTGGTTCTCTCTTTTATTTATCTATTGATTATGGTTTTACTATGAAAGTAGAATTTGGCCTCTATTTCTAAGAGTGCTAGATTATTAATGATGAATTATGGTCTTAGAGACATGAGGGCATTTTTGGTTTAGTATTGAGAGTGGTGGTAGAGAGTTGCATTAGACAAGAATTAGCAAGTAATGAATTTTGAGATGAGTTGGATTCGTTAGACTTTGTTTACTTTAATGAGTATGTCACGTACAAGAAGTTAAAATTAAAACCTTGTTTTGTTTTGTCTTGTTCTTTAGAAGAAGGGTATTTTAGGATATTTGTAAAAAGATATAGACTATTGGTTCTATATTGTTATATAAACCTTAAAAGCGAGGGAGGTAGGTGTAATTTTTGAAACTTGAGGAGAGCTCTCTATAATTGCTGGAAACCTCAAGGGAGGTTTCTGAAATTATCCCTTTTTTTGGTCAATTTTGGCCGTGAACCTTCAGGAATGATTGCATTCCGATGATTGAATATGATGGTGCAGGAGGGAGAAGGAACTCTAAAGCTAGTGGCAAACGTGATTGAATATAGGAATCAATTGGAGTTGGAGATTAGTGGAGTGGTTTGAGTACGAATCAAAAAAAAAAAGAAAAAGAAAGTATAATAGGGGCATTTTAGAATATTCATTGTATATTTTTGCTCGCATAAGCAAAGTGAATTTTTCTGTTACTAGAAACATGAAGGGGTGTAGGTGTAATTACTGAAATTAGAGGGGTACTGTCTGTAATTATTAAAAATCTCAGGGGAGGTTTCTGAAATTATTCCCTATCATTTTCCTTCAAAAATAGCCAAAAAAAAAAAAAAACAAAGCCATAAACATATTCATAGAAATCAGCTGAAAAGCAGAAGGAAAAAAGTACAAAAAATAGCCCAAAAAAAAAAAAAGGCAAAACAAGATTAAGGGGAAAAAAAAAAGGGAGTTAGCACGCCAACGCCACATAATTCCTTATCTTATAACCAACCGCCACCAAAAAAGAAAATTCCAGCTAGCTCGCCGCGCCAGTGAAAACTACAGCTCCGTTGGCTAGCGGCTGGCTGGCCGGAGACTTGAATCATGGCCGCCATCTCTACAGCCACTGAGGCGGTCGAAACTCCTTTGTTAGACGACGTCGTCGAAGGAAGCTTTGACTACAAAGGCCGTCCGGTCAAGCGATCCAAATCCGGTCGATGGAGATCCGCATCTTTCATCATAGGTACCATAAACCAATTCATCTCTAACCAAATTTTTTTCATTTTTATTCGGATAAGACAAGATTCTAATTGATTTTTATTACTATTTTTTTTTTTTTTTTACATTTTCGTTTTTCTGAAGGTGTTGAGGTGGCTGAGAGATTTGCTTATTACGGAATAAGTTCGAATTTAATAAGTTACTTGACGGGCCCACTTGGCCAATCCACCGCTACGGCGGCGGAGAACGTTAATGCTTGGTCGGGCACGGCGTCGCTTTTACCACTTTTGGGCGCTTTTATAGCTGACTCGTTTCTGGGTCGTTATCGCACCATTGTAGTTGCCTCCGTGCTTTATATCCTGGTTAGTTACTGCTTGTACCTTGTGCTAATTCTGTGGTACTTTCTTTAGCTTGTTTCCATGTACTTGTCCCTTGTGCTTAGTTTGTGGTGCTTTTGTCTTTTTCACATTCGTTCTGCTTGTACTTCATGCTTAATGAAATTAAAATGCTTTAGTTCATTGTGCATTATCATTTGTAATGCATAATATTGAGAAAAAAAGTTGTATTTCGAGGTATAAAGAGAGTTTTGGTTGGGACTTGTGTGGGGGGGGGGGGATAATGCTATAATTTTGTGACTTCAAATTTTTTTTTTTTTGTGTCCAATCCTTTTAATCCACCAGCATTATATATGGCATGTTGCAAATTTTCGACTACACCGGCTAAAATGTGGTCCCAAACAAGGAATTAGGCAGTACTATGTTTGGTAACGTAGTTGAATTGTTGGCTTACATGATCTATCCAGTAGTTGGTAGGCTGTTGCACTTGAATTTGGAAGCTTCATATTTCATTGATAATGGGGCTTTTTGTTTTAGGGACTGCTGTTTCATTTGGTTGAGTTTCAGATGCAATTTATTTTTTTGTGACCGGGATATTAGGGGATCTTCAGTTTTCTGACTGGGGATATAATAGTGGTTGAGCATATGTATGTATGGGTTCGGTGAAAGGATCCCCTGAATATTGGGTAGCTTTTATTAAACTGGGTCGGATACTTTATGAAATGGGTGGAGTAACAGAAAATATAGCGAGAAGGGCAATTTCAATAGCGGCATCCAAAATGCCTATACGGACTCAATTCATTATTTCGAGATAAATGATAGAACAAGTAGAGTCAAGCTGGGGCGTCATTTTCACTCTTGCAACAGGAATGAGTGCTCCACAAGACCAGAGAAGTTGCTCCCTCACCCCGCGTGAAGTCATTTCCTAAGATGGCTCCTCTTATTCTACGATAACCCAAGCAGGAGCTCGATGAGTCTGCTCGGAACTGGTTGATTTCTAAGCCATTCGTTCTCCCCTCTCGGTTGGCCTTTGCCGGCCAGTAGAGCAAAGTAGCAATAGCTTGATGAAGTTGAGATGTGTTGTATGGTGATGCTTTAGAATACAGTGATCTTTAAAACTTTAGGAATCAGTGGTTGAGAGGAGCTTACATCCTTCTGCCTTGGGGTTTCTTTGATCTGTGCTGCTAGCTTGAGAGGGTTGCTTTTACGATAATTATTTCTGACAGCCACGCTTATGATGGAGCAACCTCCTCTGCTTCCATTGAGAAATTACTTTCTTAGAGGTGGGTAAGATAAATTGAGGTTGAGCTTGCTAAAGGATGGGAATTTTTCAGCCAAGAATTCTAGCACATTTATAGCCTTTAACAACCGAATGCCTGAATTCTGTTTTTGCTAGATTAGTTGGAGCATATTGGACCTACATATATCTAAGCCAGTCCATAGGTCAAAAACCAATGAAATAAGCTCCAAATAACTTAAATGTAGCATGCAACTGGACCATTCAGCTGTGACACGAATTCTAGGTTATTTGAATTTTTTTTGAACTTTGTATTGTCTTTAGCCCTTGTTTGCATTTTTTTTTATAATTTGGTTTTATGTTTGAGTACTACTTTATTTTGGATGTAATAAGCACTAAAATTAATATAGCTATATTTCTCCTCAATTTTAGGAGTAATATTACATATCAAATATGTTAGAAAATTGATTCTGGTGTTGTGTTATTTGTCGCAAAAAATCAATTTACTGGCTATAGTTATATAAGAATTACTCTTTGTTGCATGAAAAAGATGCTTCAGATTTGAACAACAAAGTTACCAATGGAAGAAACAATAAATTGATCAGAATATGAAAGAATGAGTTTCATTGCATATTGGAGATTTTTGACTCAGTGAACAAAATTGACCATTATCATCTTAACAACTGTAATATTCTTGTGAAACACTTAGTTAATCATTGGATTTCGATGAATGACAGGGACTTGGCTTATTGACGATTTCAGCTGTTCTTCCCTCTTTCAAGTCTTCCGAGTGTCAGCATATAGAGAATGTTATTTCATGTTCTCCACCTGAGTTCCAAATTATTTTCTTCTTCTTTTCATTGTATCTAGTGGCATTAGCCCAAGGAGGGCATAAGCCTTGCGTTCAAGCTTTTGGAGCTGACCAGTTTGATGGACAAGATCCAGAAGAGTATAAAGCCAAAAGCTCATTCTTCAATTGGTGGTATTTCGGTATGTGTGGAGGTACCATGGTCGCCTTGACGATTCTGAACTATATTCAGGATAATCTTAGCTGGGGTCTTGGATTTGGAATTCCCTGTCTCGTCATGGGAGTTGCACTTATCTTGTTTCTGCTTGGAACTATGACCTATCGATTCCATGTCCATAGCGATGAGATGAGTCCTTTTGTAAGAATAGGCCGGGTTTTTGTGAATGCAGCAAGGAATTGGAGAACCACATCTTCTGCAATATCTATGGAAGAGGAGTCTAAGGGCATTTTGCCTTACCAAGGTTCAGCTCAATTCAAGTGAGCGATGATCTAAACCTATATTTAACTTTCCTGAGAATTTTAAGTTAATGATTTTATTCTTACATGATTTTACAGCTACTCCTCGTAAAATTGCGTTTATTGACTTTAAATAGCTTTTCCATTGATAAGTGATTTCATGATTTTCTTCTAGCTTCAGAGACCCTATAATCAGAGGCCAAGAATCAAAATTGCTTGACTTGACCACTTCTATTGTATTTGTGATAGGTTTCTGAACAAAGCATTGGTGCAACCTGATGGTTCAAAGGAAGATGGAAAAGTTTGTAGCGTCAGTGAGATTGAAGAGGCCAAAGCAGTTGTTAGGCTATTTCCAATATGGGTCACGAGTTTGGTTTATGCAATTGTATTTTCACAAGCATCCACTTTGTTTACCAAGCAAGGAGTTACAATGGATAGATCTATTGGTCCAAGCTTTGAAGTACCAGCTGCCTCCTTACTAACTTTTATCAGCTTTTCAATATTTGTCTTTATCCCTATCTATGACCGCATTTTGGTTCCTATCGCAAGAGCAATAACCAGAAAACCGTCAGGTATAACAATGCTGCAACGCATTGGAACTGGAATAGTTATATCCTGTCTTTCCATGTTTATAGCTGCTCTAGTTGAGATGAAGCGTCTTGAAACTGCTCAAGAGTATGGGTTGGTTGATAAGCCAGGTGCAACAGTTCCGATGAATGTGGCATGGCTGATACCTCAGTATGTGCTTTTGGGAGTTTCTGAATCATTTACCATGGTTGGTTTGCAAGAATTCTTCTACGACCAGATGCCTAGTGAGATGAAAAGCATAGGCCTCGCTCTATACCTCAGTATCTTTGGCATAGGGAGCTTCCTAAGCAGTTTTCTGATCTCTATCATTGAGAAAGCAACAGGCGGGGATGGAAGGGATAGCTGGTTCGCCGACAACTTGAATAAGGCACACCTTGATTATTTTTACTGGCTGCTTGCTACACTTAGTGCAGTGGCATTAATTGCTTATCTGTATTTTGCAAAATCTTATATTTACAACCGAGGCAGTAACATTTGAAGCTGCCTGAATTCACATCTACCAAGCTAGTAGGTTTGTGGAATGTGGTGAGATTGTACAGAATGTACAATGGTACAACCACTCGCTTTCTAGTTTCTACGGCTCCTGGACATTGTTCACTCTAGCACTCTTTTAAATAAAGTGTTGCTAATTGTAATGCTACGCCACAATTGGTCCCTTTTCAGTTGATCGTGCAGCAGCCAATGTGCCCCTCCGCCCGGCACCCTCCTGCACTAGAACATGGTTACAGCAACTGTTCATGGCCTCGTGCTCCTGTAAAATGAGCAGTCAGGAACCTGCCTGCGAATGGGAATGTACGTGGTTCAGTGTTGTAATATTAATGTAGCAGGTTAGGCGAAATGAACCCGATCTTCAATTCGAGTATGTTTCTCGTGTAATATGGGATTCTTGGAAAATATTACATTAGACATTAGATTGATAATCAGGGGACAAAAAAAAATGTCAAAGATTTATGCGAATAACTATATGCCAATTTAAGTTGATCTTGGACAGAATATTAGTTGGAGTGAAGGTTTTAGCACTTCAGCAGTTACGCTTGTCGTTTGTTTTGTCACATGACAAACCTAAATTTCCAGTTGAAATTCATGCAGTAAGAAAATATTTGGTCCTAAATGGAAAAAAAAAAATCGTAAACAGTTGGTTGCCGGAGAATTTCAATGAAAAATTCATAAATTTCCAATAGGAAGCAGTCCGTTTTATGTAGCCAAACAAAAAAAAAAAATTTTAAAAAACTTTTTCCTTGTTTGGCAACCATAATTGGCTATCTTAATTTGGGGTCAATTAGTCAAACCGGCTAATAATTACGAGTAAATCTTATATATATAAATGCAAAATTTGAATTTCACACAGTTGTCATTCATCCAAGTCTCCCAGTAAGTGTACTGTTAGTGTAAGAAAGATTAACCTACTAATTATTGTATATAATGTTCTCTAAGAATATCTATTTGGCGTTGTTGCTTATGTCCATAAACAGATAGGTAGGGATATCAAAGTCTTCTACCTCTCATCATCGCTCGTTTTTACTGAAAAATAAAAATACAAAATTCATGATTTTTTTTTCAATTTAGACTTGTACCAAATGAGAAAAATATTTAATATATTCTTAACTCATTATGTAATGGTTAACAACTTGGCATCTGTTATTTACCCACAGCCAGTATCTTGACCACATATCTCCTCTTACTACATCTACTTAATTTGAGTTTAAACTTTAAACCATGCATTCATGCGACAGCCCCTTCAGTTCAAGTATCACACACTAAATATCTTACTAAAAAAAAAATACTAATTCTATATAAGGTTAAAAGATGAATCAAGTTATTTGATACTTGAATTAAGTTTGACTTGGTAAGAGCTCGTTTGGAATTAGTTTGCCAACTCGTCAAATCAAGATTGAATAACATTTTGTGTTAAATAACATTCAAGCTCGATTAAAAAAAAATTCATTCAAACTTGATTCAGCAAATAAATAAGTCAAGTTTGAATAAAATTTCAAATTTGTTAAAATAATCAAACAAGTTTGAACATTAGATATTCGATTTGATTAGACTGGTTCATACCCCTAATTCCATATGCTATCTGGAGCTAGCTTTATCCATGTTCTCCAGAAAATCATTCTATTTTTGACAATTTTCACCTGTAAGAAAATAAAGAAATTAAAAAGAAAAGGTATCTCACTTGGGCTGAGGATAAACACGTTGCAATGAGTAATCAGAAAGGGGCGGTCCAAAATGGTCCTTGATAGCCATTAGCACACATATAATATAGCCCAATTTTCAGGATCCCCACACCCAAAAAAAAAAAAAAAAAAAAAAAACTTTAGCTTGTTGGACCAAAAAAGTAATGGTGGAGTAGTATTAACTTCTTAACCGAAAATGACTAGAAAAATTCCTTCCCTTTAACAAAAAAAAAGAAAAATTCCCACAAGTGTTGAGCATTTGATGCATGCTTGCAGTGGCATGCAACCCGTATACACCCACCCACCCACTGCCGAAGGGTCTTGCCAAGCTTAAATGGCTTTTTCAACTTCCTTCCTCAGATTTTCAAGCTGGGATTGTGGGAATTTCGTTGAAAATCCAATGTGCCAGTTTTGGGGTGGACTCTCTAGTCTAGTTTTGTACTAGTACTCGGAAGTTCTACAGACATGGCCAGTACTGATCCTATTGGATTAGCCATCATTCCTGCAGATATTCCCAGTTCTGATGAAGAAGTTTCAGCTTGTCATCATGATACGATTGATGGTGTTGTAGATTATCAAGGTCTCCCAGCAAAAAGATCCCAATCAGGAAAATGGAAATCTGCTTATTTCATTATAGGTGAGATTAATTCCTATCAATTCTTTCTTAATGAAACCAGGAATATCTATGTAGGTGAATTAATGGCTGCATCTCATTTTCATCTTGTACTTAAGAAACTTTTTTAAACTAGTGCAAAATGGAAAATTTTATTATTGTTATTATTTTTTTTAACAAAAAACTTGTTTCATCACATTGATAACTTACTTGGAAATTGCACCTCTACTTTTCTTAAACTTTTACTTACTATTTAATTCGTGTTATTTTAGCTATTTATTTATGATTTTTCCTTGAATTTTCTGCACAATATTAGGATAAGATAATCATGAAGCAAGAAAACTAGCCTAGTGATTTTATCATAGACTCTTTGCATAACACTAGTCTTTATACTTGTACACATATATTTCCACACTTGAAGCAGCAAAAATTCATCATTAGAGGATTAAACATTGTTAGTCGATCTCTCTTCACTTCTCTTTTTATATCAAGTCGGCCTTGTGTAAATAGTTAATTCTTGAAGAACTATAGCTAGATTATGCTATAATACATTATACACGTACCAAAACTTTTGTAATTACCCAAACTCGTAGTACTACTTTGCATGTCTGCTGTTTTAGTTTGTGAATTGGAGAGCAGGTGTTGGAGTAGCAGAGAGGTTTGCATACTTTGGAGTAGGTTCCAATCTTATAACTTACCTTACGGGTCATCTTAGGCAGTCAACAGCCGTTGCAGCTGCCAATGTTAACTTGTGGACAGGCGCCGGAGCAATGCTGCCGCTTGTGGGGGCATTTGTGGCCGATTCATTTCTAGGCCGGTATCGGACCATCGTGGTTGCATCTGTGATTTACATCCTGGTTGGTTTCTTTTTGTTTTGAACCCTCGTCTGTGTCAATATATGTGATGTAGAGAGTCATATTTAAAACCATTGTGAAGTAGTGCAATTTTGTTCTTAAAGAATTCTTTTGATATTGTTGTTGTGAATTGGATTTTCCGTGACAAGTCTCTGAGCATATTACTAAGTCGTTATGTTGTTGATAACTTCCAAAAGGAAACCCTTGATAGAGACAGAGGATCTAATCCTTTTGAAGGAGCATCACTAATACCACAGCCTCGCTGTCTAGGATCTTACCCTTTGAACATATGAGCTACACCGTAAAATAGGTAATCGAGATTGGAGACACCAGTTACTGAATCTTTAAAAAGTGAAAATATGATCTAAATTCTCTCTAACCAGTGAAAGATGTCATGAAAGATGCTGACAAATAGCTACATGATTGTGCATCCTGACTGCTAAATTGTACTAATTCAACTGATATGAATTGCAGGCACTTGGCCTATTAACCATATCTGCTATGCTCAACTGCCAAAGCAACATCAGCATGCAATCATGTTCCCCTAGCCAATTACAAGTTATTCTCTTCTTCTTTTCTCTATATTTAATAGCACTTAGCCAGGGGGCGCACAAGCCATGCATTGTCGCATTTGGAGCGGACCAGTTTGATGGACAAGATTCAGAAGAGAGCAGAAGCAAAAGTTCATTCTTCAATTGGTGGTATTTTGGTTTATGTGCAGGTCCTTTGAGTGCACTATTGGTCTTAAACTACATTCAAGATAACCTTAGTTGGGCTCTCGGCTTTGGGATCCCATGCAGCTCTCTTGCAGTGGCCCTACTCGTATTCTTACTTGGCACTAAGACTTATAGGTATAAAGTGAAAGATGAAGAGAAGTTTTCCGTTTCAAATATTGGCAATTTGTTTGCTAAAGGAGCTAAGTATCGGCAGTCTGTCCCTTCATCAAAGTCTAGTGAAGGAGTACATGCAACAGTCAATGAAGCAAGATCCAAGCAATATGAGTAAGATGATACTACTTACATAAGTGAGAATGTCTTTTCTTATTGTGCCTTTATGGCATCTTTCTGAGACTTCAACCTATGAAGAGGAAGCTACAGGAAAAAAAAAGTAATACTTAAAGGACATGCTTGTGCTTGTAAAAAATGTGGAATATGATTCTTCTGTTCTGCATTTAGATTTTGATGTTGGGAGGATACAACTAACATCGGAAAAAACTCTGTAATCTTAAGCTGATAAATTAGAACTATGATGTTTATTGAAACTTGGAGAAAGTTCATCGAGGTTCATGAACCTCTAAATGTATTTAATTGCAGCTCAATGTACCAAATGTTGGTTTTTAAAATGGTCCTCTATCAGAATTTTGACAAAAATGAGTTTCGGTGAGTTCAATATTCATTTAAATCATTGCCTATAATCCACCAATAATTTATTCAAAAGTTTGAATTGATCTTGAATCTTTTTAACCACGTACAGATTTCTCAATGAAGCTTTGCTGGAAAAAGATGATCTTGAGAAGTACAAGGATGTGTCCGAAGTCTGTGAATTTGAAGAATTAAAGTCACTTAAAGATTTGTTTCCTATATGGGCTACATCCTTGGCATATGCTGTTGTGTTTGCACAAACTTCCACTTTGTTCACAGAACAAGGAGTTACAATGGATAAATCAATAGGTTCAGGATTTGTGTTACCGGCTGCTTCACTTCAGTATTTAACAGGCATTTCCATTATCCTTTTTGTCCCTATTTATGACCGCATTTTTGTCCCTCTTGCAAGAACTATCACCGGAAGGCCATCAGGGATAACGAAGCTGCAGAGAATTGGAATAGGAATGGTTCTATGTACTGCTTCAATGATCATTGCTGCTCTTGTTGAAAGAAAGAGACTTCAAATTGCTCAATGGAATGGTTTAGCTGGTCTGCCACATGCAACGGTTCCTATGAGTTTTTGGTGGTTGGTGCCTCAGTATATATTGTTCGGAATTGCTGATGTTTTCACTGTGGTTGGTTTGCAGGAGCTTTTCTATGATCAAATGCCAAGTGAATTGAAAACTATAGGCCTCTCTTTTTTTCTGAGTATCTTTCGAATTGGGAGCTTTCTAAGCAGTTTTCTTATCTCCAGCATTGAGAGATTCACAAGCACCGGCAGCAGAGTCGGAGGTTGGTTTTCCAGTAACTTGAATCTAGCACATCTTGATTACTTTTACTGGTTACTTGCTGGATTTAGTATGGTGGAGTTCTTAGCCTTCTTGTATCATGCAAATTCTTATGCCTATAATGGTCAAGGTCGTTCCACTGCCTGAATTGGCTGTAACTGTAATAGTTAAGATGATTATGTAGGATTGCCAAGGACAGACAGGAGCAATGTGTAAGATACAGGATTTGATTCTAGAATTTGAGTACGTCAATCCTCCACTCATTTAAAAATTTATTACCTATTTTTGAGCTGGTTGTTTTCGTTGTAGTTCTTGATGTAGATTCATGTTATCTGACATCAAATTATGGAGGAAAATATTGAGTAGCCTGACTTATCTTGGATCAAAAACTGATGGGTGTAATTTTAGATTCTATTTTGTCTTGAGGCCCTTGAAATATATAGAACTGGCCAGAACAATTCTCACAAATGTGGTTTATGCACTCAAATATCAAAAGTAATTCAGTTAAATTTTAACTTGAAAAGCAATTTTAGAATGGATTTTTAACAAAGCATCTCAACTTTGGAGATTCTCTTGTGCTTAGTTCAACTACTATTGATGAAATGGGAAAGAACAAAATATGCTTAAAGCTGTTGATTGACTGCAACATTTGCACCTTTCTTTCACCGAACTTTGTATGTCATATCTTGTAATCTGACTTTATCGTACGTAGGAGGTTTCAGCTGCTGGGCTGGAATTATTCAATTACAATATATTTATTGTGCTGAAAATCTTATTTCAGGACTCAAATAATTCAAGACTTCAATCACCTGAAAGTCTTATTTCAGGTTAGCTATTGACCTGCAGAGATTGAAGGGCTTGGTGCTATTTCTCTAGTTGATAGAATGTAATCTGTTTTTCAGTCTATTTACATATATATGATTAACCCGTTAGTTATGGAATTTGGTTTACTTTGTCCAACTATTGTCATCCTAATGGATAACATTAGCCCAAAAAAAAAAAAAAGAAGAAGAAGAAGAGGAAGAAAAAGAAGAAAAAGAGAGATTGCTAGTGAGAGTGGATGAGTGATTATGCAAATAAGAAAGTGCATTTGTTTCTTTTAAATTTATTTTTCCTTTTTGTTTTTTAAATGAATGATTCCCTGTCAGTCAACAGCTATTACTTGCTTGAAACCGGAATATGAAAATCCCTACCAACGAGAAAGGAATATATGAGATCGATTCTCAACTTCTTCTTTTTTTTGGTAAAAAATAAAAAAGTCCCCTGTGATGAACCTAATACACAGAAAAGCCCTCCATGGTTTCAAAATATACAACACGACCTCTCATGCTTTGAACTAAATTGTAAATGTGACGGAATCCGCTAAACTTAACGGAAATGGATAAAATGCCCTGATATAATTAAGCAAAAGACAATTCAAAAAAATCATTTGTTTTATTCTCTAAATAGAGAGAATTGAGGGTTAAGGGGTAGAATAGGTATATTTGATAAAAATTAGGCATAAAATTTTTTTTTAGGTTCCAATAAGTCATTTCCGTTAAATTTAACGGATTCCGTCAGCTTTACAATTTAGTTCAAAGCATGAGGTGTCGTGTTGTATATTTTGAAACCATAGGGGATTTTTCTGTGTATTAAACTTACCACATGAGGCTTTTTTGTTTTTTACCCTTTTTTTTTTTGGTCCTTTTCCTTTTCAATTTTTTTTGCTTTGGAAAATTGATTCAAATGAAGCCGTTCAAAGTGAGAGAGTAGTAACTAATGAGTTTGGGGCAGCTGGTAAGCGGGTTGCTAATACCAATGGGAGGTTACAAGTTCTACCCCTCCCTTTGATGCCTTGAAAAGTTTTGAACCAAACTTTCATCCCTGAGTAAGAGTCGGACCTTGGAAGCCCAGATTCCTCTTCTTCACAACTCGATCTGATGTTGTCAATGGCTATACAGATTATAAAGGATATGCACCGAATCGATCAAAAGCTGGAGGATGGAAATCTGCAGCATTCATCTGGTCAGGAAATCTCTCTGCTCTTTCTTTTGTCCACCTTTCTATTGGCTGATCAGAAACTAGAAATATTGATTGAATTGGCTTCATTCACTTTCATGTGCCGGAAGTCTTGAGAGATTTACATATTATGGAATAGAATCAAATCTTAATACTTACCGGGCCACTTAGAGAATCTGTGGCATTACATTCAGGACAACGTAAATTGGGTCCTGTTTTTAATGGGACGTAAGACATATCGATTTGCTCTCAGGCAAGGCAATAAAGATAAAGAAATCCCTGATGAGAGAATCCATGCACAATTCGCTCAAGTGACAGATGCTTCATACAGCAACGAGAATCCTCAAAGCTCTAAAAACCAAAGGTAAGGAAATATATCTTACTCCCATACTACTTTTCATGGAATTTTATAGATATTGAACTTACATTTCCTGTTTTCATACTGCTCTTAATTTTCTTTTTTGGGTAAAAAGCAATTGGAGAAGGCTAATAATTTTTTGAGATAAAAAGAAGGGTTTATTTTCTTGCTTTTCTTCCTAATTGGTTTATCAAATAATGATTATTGAAACATAACTAATGCAGAATATTTGTGGTTAGGTTTCTGGAGGATGTATTATCTGCAGCTGATGGTGATGCAAAGAACATCGATACAATCTCCAACAGGAATAACAAGACGAACGTTTTAAAGCTGCTTCCTATATGGAATACTTGCTTAACATACACAATTTCATATTCTCAAGCCACCACATTTTTTACCAAGCAAGCAAGTGCTGTGGATAGATCATTAGGCCCAACTATTAACATTCCGGCAGCCTCACTAAGGACTTTCATCGCTTTTTCTATTTTGTTCGGCATTACGATTTATGATCAAATTTTTGTGCTAATTGCAAAAAAGGTTACAGGATATTCTTCTGGTATAACAAAGTTGCAGCGAATACGAACTGGGATGGCCATATCTGTCCTTAACATGGTTGTTGCAGCTCTGGCTGAAATGAAACGACTCAAAAATGCTGGTGCCTTAGGCAGAGGAAATTTCTTGAGCAGTTTTCTCATTTCTGCAATTGAGAAAGTGACAAGTGGAAATGGAAGAGACAGTAGGCTCTGTGATAATTTGAATCATGCACATCTTGATTACTTCTATTGGTTGCTTGCTGGAGTTGGGGTTTTGGGTTTAGTTGTCTATGCATACCTAGCAAATTCATACAAATATGAGGGATATGCTTCTAGAAAGAAGAGGATCCAAAACATTGATTAATTAGACAAGTAGATGCGTAGAAACACTAATAAAGTGTTTCATTTGACCATTAGATTCTGATTTTAAAACATCAATATTTTTTTTAATGTTCTCATTTGCTTTTATATCTAAATGTGAGAATTTTCAATAAGTACAAAAGTTAAAATTTAGAACATGCGTGCAAGTAACTCTTGTTGATTTTGAATTAAAGATGTGTGCCCTCAAAATTCAATTCAATGGAAGCGATGTAGGATGTTTACACTCAAATCATCCCTTTTTCCTTCCCCTTGTAAGATTTAGAATATCTTAAACCAAAATTGGAAAAAAAAAAGGGTGTATATCAAATTGGGAGCTAAATATTAGCACTTCATTTGGTTCAATGAAAAGAAAAAATAATTCTATCTTTTGTTGCATTTACAACAAACTATTTATCTCTTTGGGTGTAGCCTTGGAGTAATTGGCATCAAAATTGTGGTAAATGAATATACAAGGTAGGAATATGCATGAAATTCAAGTGGATATTCATATCTATTGTAGCTATGGCATTCATTCAATTTAAATGAAAATGTTGAATCTTGCCGTGTATCATTCCGTACTTGTAGTGTGGATTTCAAATTGATTCAACTCCTTAAAAGAATGAAACTCATCCCACTCCCAAAACAAACATAGAAGGCTGAGTTATTTTTTTCCTTTTCACTTGAGTAAAAAAGTCATAGCTAGTGCTATCATAAAGATAGAGAGTACCCTTTATTAGTTGATTTCTTTTGACTTGTGGACGGTTGCACACAGCTGCTTTGCTTTTGTCACATGATTATAGGAAAGCTGTATTTATCCCTACAGCGAATATTATCCCCAAAAAAAAAACACTAAATACTATTTACTCCCTATGTAGAGTCATTAGTTGAAATACTAATGCACTTACTTAAATGCTAAATCAATCGATGGCTTAATCACTTTGGGCAAAAGTATTGGGGAGATTATGTAGATAAATATAAAAATAACAGGGAGATAAAGTGAATATCTATACAAACCATAAGCGAGTTACATAGATAATAAGATTTTATCATACACGCTTTTAAAGTACATTTGGTATGAACGCTGTAACTTATTTTGCATTTCGTCCATTTTCCACTTTACATAAAACCACAAGGAGTTATGTCGTGGTCATCTGACATTATATAAAATCACAGGGGGTAATAAGTAATTTACCTTAATTCTTTTTTAAATAAGCTACATAAATTATGGAGCTACTTAATTTCTTCAAAGCAAAGCAAGTGATTCCACAATCTGCGGAAGGTTCATCAAACTGCCCTGCTTAACTTGTGCCGTGAACATGAATGTCACACAAGTGAAAACCTTTTCATAGAAAAGCATGAGACACAGTTGATTAGATTCTTTCCATCTTTAATGAAAACAGAAAAAAGGAGGCATTTTTCTTCTTCCTAGTTGATTGACAAGATATTTTCTCCATATTGCTTTACTCTTACTCCATCAATGTTGCTGCCGTAGAAGCATGCCTGTGTTACCATTACTTAATCATGCTACCAAACCGCAAGATCCACTTAATATAAAGAATTTTCGATGGTGACTTTAGGGAAGATGAATTTAAGCTGTCATTTAAGCCCACATGGCTTTTTATCAGCTAGGGTCAGCATAATCTGCTTTAATTCATTAAATACTTAAAATCTGGAATTTAATTAACTGCACGTTTGTAAAGAGTAAGGTTACTTTGGCTATAATCAATGCTGAGCTTCTAATCAAATTTGGGATGTAATGTTTCCTCGTAGACAGATATTATATATTATGCGTACCTCCAGATTGACTGATCCATTATCTTGATTTGATTCCTTGTTCATTTGACTATCTCTAGAATGGATGGATGCAGAAACTTGGAAGCACAAACACAAATTCCCTTTCTTCAGAGGGATGAAGTAGTGGATGGCTATGCTGATTACCAAGGTTATGCAATTAAGCGATCCGAATCAGGTGGTTGGAGATCAGCATCTTTCATTCTAGGTGAGACAATATCTTAGCTCTTTGCTTCTTTCTTTAGTCCCATTTTTTATTCTTTGGTCTCTATATTCACTTGCTACACAAGAAGGTTGGAATGTGTGAATCTATCTCATAACCAAAAGCTAGATGGTTCACAACTTCCCAACGTCTGCATTTCAGGAAAACCAGGATGTTAGGTTTATGTGTTGATTCAGTTGGCTTTGTTTTTGTACAGTTTCTGGAAGTCTTGAGAGGTTTGCATATTTTGGAATAGAATCAAATCTCATTAGCTACCTTACCGGGCCCCTTGGAGAATCCATAGCAACAGCAGCTGCAAATGTCAATACATGGATCGGTGTTGCTTCACTTGTACCAGTTTTTGGATCATTTTTTGCAGATTCATTCCTTGCCCGCTATCAGGCAATCATCCTTGCTTCTGTTATTTACATCTTGGTGAGTACTTTGTTGTCTTCCTTTCAATTTTTTCAATGAACTTGTCGTTCTTAAAATGGGAGAAATTCCAGGGACTAGGCCTTTTGACCCTCTCAACAGTACCTACTTCATTGATCAGCGTTTCAACCTTTCAAGGTAGAGATATAGTGGCTCAGATTCTATTTTTTGTGTCACTATATCTGGTGGCTCTAGGACAAGTATATAAATCATGCGTTCAAGCCTTTGGAGCTGATCAGTTTGATGGAAATCATCCAGATGAGAAAAAAGCCAAGAGCTCATTTTTCAACTGGTGGCTCTGTTGCTTGTGCATAGGTGCTACTGCAGCACATTTGATCTTACACTACATTCAGGACAACATAAATTGGGGAATTGGTTTTGGGATTCCATTTATTGCTATGACAATTGGTTTGGTCCTATTTCAAATAGGTAATAGAACTTATCGCTTTTCTGCCAGACAGAACGATGCAGATGAAATCCTGAATGAGAGCATCTGTCAAAGGTACACTTTTTTTTTTCTTTTTTTTTTTTCAGAAAAGAACTGTATTTAGCGAATTCTCGTATCAATCAGTGGCAATCAAGTCTATATCCCCCTAACTGATTTGTTAGAGTCTATATAGTTGACACCTTGCGAAAGCTAAGAATTTTCTTGTCAGGTTTATCAAAGTTTTGCCTGCAGCAGAAGACTCAGGGGAAGCAATTACCACCAAGACTAATGGGGCAAAGATATTTCTAAGGCTGCTTCCTATTTGGTCTACTTGTTTAACCTATACAATAGCAATGGCTCAAGTCTCCACATTGTTTACTAAGCAAGCAAGTACAGTAGACAGATCATTAGGGCCAAGTTTTAGCATACCACCGGCCTCGCTGCGAGCTTTCATTGCCCTTTCTATTTCATTCTGCATTCCCATTTACGATCAAATTTTTGTCCCTATTGCAAGAAAAATCACAAATTTTTCCACTGGCATAACAATGCTGCAGAGGATGGGAACTGGGATGGCGATATCCGTCATGAATATGGTTATTGCTGCTCTGATTGAAATGAAAAGACTCAAAACTGCTAAAGATTTTGGTCTGGTTGATATTCCAAATGCAGCAGTTCCCATGAGCTTCTGGTGGTTGGTGCCTCAGTTCACGTTGATCGGCCTTACAGATGTGTTCATTCTTGTAGGTTCACAGGAATTTTTCTATGATCAGGTTCCTACTGAATTAAGGAGTTTGGGGATCTCCCTTTATTTTGGTGCCGTAGGCACAGGAAACTTCTTGAGTAGTTTTCTCATCTCTGCCATTCAGAAAGCTACAAGTCAAAATGGAAGAGACGGTTGGTTTTCTGATAACTTGAATCGGGCACATCTTGATTACTTCTATTGGCTTCTTGCTGGAATTGGTATTTTTGGATTCGTACTCTTTGCATACTTGGCAAAATCCTATGACTACGAGGAAAATGCTCCTAAAGAGAATTTTCAACCATAATATTTGCTTTTGGCTGGCAGAAGAATGTGCCAAGTGCATAAATTAGTTAGGATAAGATGAAGTGGAAGCTATCATTCCCTTCGTTTGCTTCAAAAACAGTTTAAGATAATTTTCTATAGTTGATCCATGCAACTTCTTTTGAAGCATCTATTCATTTGTTATAGTTTTGGGGAAAGAGGGAAGGTTGAGTTAAACTTAATTAGATCGTACTAGGTGCTCATTCGAAACCTTGCTCTTGTTTTGGCACTGTAATTAGAACTTAGAAGCGATGCTAAATTTGTAAATGACCCTCATAGGAAATTAATGAATGACGACTTCATTAGTAGACTTCACTAGTGCTCTAGTATCTTACCAACTATTCAAGGGGTGAAACAAGCACAATAGAATTCGCAACAACTAGCTTTGGAGTTCTCCGAGAAAAATTTAAAAGCTTATGTTGAGGGTTCAATTAGATTTTGAAGGGTTGAGTTTGAACATTACCATAAAGAAAAGAGTTTGAACTTTAATTTCCGTTTGGATTAACTGTTTTTAGAGGTGTTTTTGAAATATTTTATTGTAACAATGTAATTGAAAAATTTTATTGTAGATGAGGTTATTTTTTAGGTTATTTTTTATATTTTTGGTATTTTTTAAGGTTGTTTTTTATGTTTTTGGTATTTTTGAAGTTGTTTTTTTTTAATATATTTTTGAGGTTGTTCTTTCTTTCTTTTTTTTTTTTGTATATTTGGTATTTTTGAAATTATTTTTATTTGTGTATTACTGTAGTATTATAATTGAAAAACTTGTTTTTCAAAAAATCCCAATCCAAACAGAATTAATCGATTCATATGTTCACTTATAGAGTAGTTTGGAAGGCTTAATTGGTGTTGGTGCTTGTCTTACGTAGTACACAGACATCAAAGGTCAAGCAGGGTTAGTTTTCAAACACGTAACCGTCTCTCTAACTTCAATTATAGGCTCCAAGACACACTCAATTCAGAATTGGCTAGAGTACATTATTCCACATCACTTCCTGTGTCTTCACCCCGTCACTTCAATCTCAATGAAATCATTTGCCAGGTAGAGTATAGATATTAATGCTGTCAACTGAGTTTCATGAGTTCGGT